AAATAGATCTGGATATGGAGATAATTTTGTATGTTTTTCAGTAGAAAATTATTAGGGAGAAGTTTTTTCCTCATACTATTTTTTATTGTGCAGTTTATTTAAAAGATTCATTTAAAGTAACTAGTTCATACACATAGGAGTTTCTGCTGGCAAAGAATCAGTGAGAATGATATTAAAAGACAAACAGAATTGTCTTTGCAAAGTTCAGCTGCTTCATTAACTTTATTTTTGTAAGAGCTCATATAGACAGAATATCAGTATGCAGAATTTTATATCAGAATATGTGCTTGATAATTTTGAAAATATTACTGACAATTCTCCAAGTGTCTATATTTTCATCTGTAGTATTATATAAGGTCTTTATGTGAGAACAAAGTATAGCACCTGTTCATACTGGAAATCAACAGTTCTCAGTTCAAACCTTCCTTAAGAAAGCAGTCCTGTGCTTTCAGTGGGGATAAAGTAAAGATAAGATTATAACAGATAGGTGAGTGAGTGGAATTTATTTGAAATATGAAAACACTCCAACTCTCACTCCCAAAAACCAGAGGATGTTTATGATAAATTGCAAAAACTAGCTACAAATTCTTTGCAGCTCATTCTTTCAAGAAATACAGTCTTTTATTTTTATTAATTTTTATTTTAAAGATGTGGGGTGCAATTCAGGTTTAGGTAGATAAAGGGTCATTGTACAGGTAAAGTTTGGGCCTCACTTTGGTCCTCACTTCACCTGGTTTGAGATCAGATACTCTTATTGATGAAGTGTGCCTCACCCTCCCTCCCCACTCTTTCCCCTGGCAGTTTCCCACAACTGCCAATCCCTTTCTTATAGTAGTATAATTGTTCAGGGTTCATTTATGAGTGAGAACATGTGGTACTCAGTCCTTTGTTTCTCAGTTCTTAGATCACTGATTATTACAGACTAAATCCATTCAAGTTGCTGTAAAGTTCATAACTTTGGCCTTCTTTATGGCTGCATAATATTCCATTATGTACATGTACCACATTTTTAATCCAGTCTACTTTTGATGGGCAACACAGTTGGTGCCAAGTTTTTGCTACTGTGAATAGTGCTGCAATAAACATGTGTGTGCAGGTATTTTTTTTTGTAGAATGGAAATGAAGTCTTCTAATCTACCTCTTGATATGAACATGACCATGATTTGCTTTGACTAATCGACTGTAAGGGAAGTAATGTTGTGTGTTCTAAGTTTAAGCCCAAGAGATCTGCCATTACTCTCCTACACTAGGGAGTCTTCCAGTACCCGTGATAAGCCTCAGTCAGCCTGTCGAATGATAAGCCCAGATGGCTAAAGGTCCCCAGTCCTCATGGAACCAAGAGATGTCACAGAGATATAAGGAAGCCCACTTGAGAAAAGCTGAGCCAGCCCAGAACATAAAGACTTTTCAGGTGGGTCTAGTACAATGTACTGTCTTGCTGAATTGTGAGGAAATCCTAAACAATTGTTTAAAGTGATTAAGTTTTGGAGTAGTTTGGTACATAGAAAAATCTGACAACTACAACAGTCTTCAAAGAAGACTTGTACTTCCCAGCAATCTCTTAGTGCTTCTGTGGCTCACAGGCTTCCACATGCCTCAAGTGTCACAAGAAGAAAGTTAAATGGATGAGGGGAAAGTTACAAGCTGTCCCTTGCCTAGACATTATGTTATTATTGTTGTTATCATTATCGTTATTTGTGATTATATAGTAGCTATCATCTGGGAATACTCTTTATGTACTATGCACTGGCTATATTCAGACCTTATCATTTGTACCCACTTATAATTTCATTTTATCATGTTAACTATCAACTGATAGTTTTCATCCCATTTATAGAAAAGAATCCCAAATTTAGGTATTTTGAGTGATTTGCCCAAGGTGATACAGTTGATAAAATCAAAATAAATATTGAATACTATTTTGATTTGCCCAAGGTGATACAGCTGATAAAATCAAAATAAGTATTGAATACTATTTTTCAATAAATAATGTAATTTTTTTTTACAAAATTCATCTTCTTATTTTTGCTACTCAAGACTCTGTTATTGTTGTGAAGTACTTTTAACTTGCAAAAATAGCTGCAGTCTTACAAGATAGTTGATGTCTTGGTCTTTAAAGTAAAACTTCAAGCAACCCCTTCAGGTCCCCTCCCACTGTGGGAGATTTTCTGTCCTCTCAATAAATCCTGCTTTCTCACTTAAATAAATAAATAAAGTAAAACTTCACTAATGCATAATATCTAGGGTTGTATCAGGGTAAAATAGTTGAAAGCCAGAACTAAAGAATTTGAAAATACACAGAGTCTTAGAGAATGTCATAACTGTTCATGAGAATTAACATAAATTCTCCCTAAATAATTTCTTAATATTAGGATAATTAAGTCTCTAGGGCCCTTAATGATGGAAATTATAATGGCATATCTCATTTATATTAATAATATATTAGTTATAAAATCAATGGCCTATAAGTGCTTTTTAAGAAAACTGTTGGCCAACGTTCTATTTTCAGCTTTGGTTATTTATTTTCCCTTTTACTTTATTTTTCAATTTTATTCCCACCATTAATTTATGAAGACCTTTTATTTTCCTATTAGATAAAGGTAACAAATTAGTTTTTGTTAAAATTGGATAACTTTCCACTGAGTCTAATTTACTGACAATTTTACCCAGGTGAAGTGGGGACCTAACTGTCAGACCACCTATACAATCTTCACAGCTGCGTAATGAGATACTGTCAATGCCCCCAGACAAAGAACACCAGGAACATGCCCCTGAAAGAACAAGTTGACTTTATGGCACATTGAAGTAAGGGAAAAAACTCACCATGGGGAATCACGCAGCACCTTAGTAAGAGATTGATGGTACCAAAGAAGCAGAAACAGTAAGAGTTACATATTAAGAGAATAATTACAAGGAATTAATTTATACAATCATGGACGTGCACTAGGCAAGTTCAAGATCCACTAGGCAAGGCATCATCAGGAAGGGCAGGCTGGAACTCGAAGCACAGGCTGAAAATGCTGTCCACAGTGGAATTTCTTTTGCCTCAGAGAAACCTCAGTTCTGCTCTTAAGGTTTTTCAGCTGATTGATCAGGCCTACCCAGCTCATCTAGGATAATCTCCTATCTAAAGTCAACTCAAGTTGATTATAAATTTTTTTTTTTTTTTTTTTTTTTTTATTGTAGTCTCACTCTGTCGCCCAGACTGCAGTGCAGTGGCCGCTCCCGGCCACCGCAGCCTCGACCTGCTGGGCTCCGGTGATCCTTCCGCCTCAGCCTTCCAAGTAGCCGGAATTACAGGCATGCGCTATCACACCCAGCTGATTTTTTGATTTATTGTCGAGATGAGGTCTCGCTGCCCAGGCGGGTCTCAAACTCACGGGCTCAGGCAATCCACTCACCTCAGCCTCCCAAAGGCGCAGGATTACAGGCTGAGCCACCGAGCCCGGCTTGATTATGAATTTTAATAACATCTACAAAATATCTTCACAGCAACATCTAAATTAGTATTTGATCGAATAACTGGGGACCACAGCACAGCCAACACATAAAACTGACCAAGGTTTGAGCTAGTGTTAGGTGATTTTGAGGAGAATTTTAGAAAGAGACTTTTTTGCTCTTAATTGGATTCTGTCAGGAAGTGAGGAGTGGGGTGGTGCAATTTTATGACTAAGTCTCTTAATAAATCTTACCTAGAAAGTAGAAAGACTAAACTGAGACACAAGTTATAATTAGTAAAGAATCAGTCATAGGAGTGAGATGGACTTGGTCATATTTGTGGTTTATAAAATGTTCATATTTTGCCTGTGTTCAGACATAATTACTGAGCGGCCTTTTTTTCTTATTTGATTCATAGGGGTCACAGAGTAGCTATCTGATACTAATGTTCTATGAAATTGTTTATGTTCAACAGGAGAACACTAAAATCCAGCTGTGAGTACCAGTCTAGCTTGTAGCCACACCAAGACCTGGTTAATTGTATCTAAGCAGCCCCCAGATGTTGGAGTAGTTTGTCTCACCTTTTTTTACACTCTCAGTCACTGTAAGCACTGTGAGATAAGACAGAGTGCTGAGAAACTTAGAGACCATTTAACAGGGACAAAGTGATTGATTCAGAATGCTACCTCCATTCACTTCTGGCTTCTGTAACATACAGAAAATAGATTCTTCTAAAAAAAAAATATTAAATCTCCCTCTAATGACTGCCTTTAACTGTAGTTCAATTCCTAATTCCTTACAAATATCTGGAATTTTAATGTTGCAGGAAGCCAATTTTCTAAGTCACAGCTATTCTCATTTCATCCTCAACATTTGACTTCACATTCTTAAATTTCAGAAAGAAGTATCAGAGTAATTGATTCAGCCAAAGTTTTCTTTAATGCAACCAATGTCCCTAAATTTCCTTTAAACGTAGTCAAGCAATACCAAAACACAGAGCGCAAAGATTACTTGGCTATGTGCAGTGGCTCACACCTGTAATCCCAGCACTTTGGGAGGCCAAAGTAGGAGGATTGCTTTAACCCAGGAGACCAGCCTGGGGAACATAGTGAGACCTCATCTCTACAAAAATCAAAACACTAGCCGAGTGTGGTGGTACACGCCTATAGTTCCAGCTGCTGAGGCAGAAGGATCTCCTGTATCACCAGCCTGGGCAACAAAGTGAGACTCTGGCTAAAAAAAAAAAAAGGTTACCCAAGACAAAGAAAAAATTTGTATAAAAGATTGTACAGTTGCTATAGGCAGCACCTCATGACATTTCAACCCCTTTTATTGCCCTGACCAAAAACAAACAAACAAACAAACAAAGAGAGAAGTGCGAGAAGAACTTACCCAACTAGATTTATACAAGCTGAAAAGACAAAGGTATTGCTTGGCTACCACCAGCAAAGATCCCTAGGTGTGTGGGTCAATTCAAAATTTGAAGAATTCTATATGATCTATGGAACAAAAACAAACAAAAAAACCTAATCCACATATAGAAGCCAGAGAAAGGGAAGTGAATGGGGATCTGCCAAGGAGGGGAGTCAACACAGGTAAGAATTCCTGGAGGCTGTAACCCAGAAATTCCTAAAGGATACCATATTGTTGATGACCTCAACTATGTATAAGGCTCTCAGTCCAGCAAGCTAAATGTCTTTAGGCAATCGTTTTACCACATAGTCCTCACTTAATGTTGACTACCTCATATGTGTCCCTTTACAAATAATCAAATAAAATGGGTATGTAGATATGTTTTATAAATATTGAAAATATGTAACTTTTTTTTACTTATTGCTAATATAGGTACAGCTTCATATTATTTTCTTTAGCAGAGTAAGAAATATCTTTATTTTTAAAGTTGAGAACGTTATGATAAAAAAATACTTGGACTATAAATTACTTCATTTTCAGATTATCAATCCAAATTACTTTTCTTCATCCCATCTAATGAAGTCCTATAAAAAGAAAATGGGCAGATGTAGATTAATTATTTGGTCCTTTTGGTCCCTCCGTCTTTGTTGTCCACCTCTTTCCACCCTCTCTTCATATATTCCTTTATCCCTCTTCCCTTTCAGGATCCATCCCTGACTTCCTGCTGTTTTATGGACATGAACAGTGGGTTTGCAAAAACAAAAGTTGAAAAGTCAAATAGTTAAAAGGGGAAGTGAAGTAGAAGGTATTCTAATCTTTTGCGACTGTTAACTATGGCTGTTTCCGTTCTAACTTTGTTTGGTAGTGAAAGATTTTCCAGAGCACTTGGTTTCTTTGTTCCAAATTTTCTTTCTCTAACATCACACGAGAGAGTCCTGGTCAGCCTCGACTTCCCCACCAGGCATAGTGGGCACAGTGATGGGGGCCCACAATACTTGTAGGACTGCATAAAAAATGTTTTAATTTCTTTTAAAATTATAAGAAAAAATCAAGTTTTAGGGTATAAGAAAATGTTTTAACTTTTCATTCATCCTGGATTATGTTTGTCTTTATACCAATATAGTCATAAAATATAATTTTCCATATTTTTATGAAGGAAGGAGCCCACAAAAACAACAGTGCTAGGAGCTCACAGGTCATAATGCAGTCCTGGTCATCACTAATCCGGACCTTTATATGGTTCCTCTACTTGTGCGCCTAACAGTCTTCCCCAGAATCTATGCGGTCCTCAAAAATAGCAGTTGTCAGACTGGGCATGGTGTCTCACGCCTATAATCCCAACACTTCGGGATGCTAAGTCAGGAGGATTGTTTGAGCCCAGGAGTTCGAGACCAGCCTGGGCAACATAGTGAGACCTCATCTCTATAAAAAATCAAAACATTAGCTGAACATGGCGGCACGTGCCTATGGTTCCAGCGACTTGGGAGGCTGAGACAGAAGGATTGCCTGAACCCAGGCATCTGAGGCTGTGGTGAGCTATGATCATGCCACTGCATTCCAGCCTGGGGCACAGAGTAAGATTCCAACTCAAAAAAAAAAAAGTAATTGTCACCCATTACACATATTTGAGCACACAATGAGATAAGTGTAGAGGAGTCAAAGATTCAAAGTCATGTTATCTGCCCTGTCAAGGATGTACAGACTAATGATGGAAACAGTATGGAGTGCAGGAAAGCAGAAGATCTATCGCTGAGCAGGAGAGTGGACCCAGTGGGGGCTAAAACTATAAAAGTAACTTGCTTCCAGTTGACCTAGGATTGTCATGTCCTCCAGCAATACTCAGCAGCTTAGGACAAGTACCAGATAAAAATAATAACCACATATATTCATGTTTTTAAAAGGAGTCAAAGTTTAGTTCAAAAATAAGGAGGCTTTGTTAGAGTCCTGTTAAGAGATCAACCAAGACAATCATGCTGGATATAGAAGACAGTGAGCTGGAAGAGGAGTAGACATGGAGAGAAGGACATTAAAATGGAGGAGTTAGAGGTCATAATGTGATCAAAAACATGTTGATGGGAGAGCTTAGCTAAAAAGTTGATAACTAGGAAGAAACCTCAAGGATGAATTAAAGGTTTGCAGGAAATCCTAAACGATAACTTTATTTCAGGGAGAAAGCCCCTGCAAAGCCTGGGGAACATGAAGAATTATGCATTTTGATTTGATTGGCAGATACTTGTGGAGGATGTTGGATTATAAGGCTGTTGATATCCTCATCACAGAACTCGCCACAGTGTATTGTATTTTCTCTTTTATCTACTTGACTCTCCCACTATTCAGTACACTCCTTGATGGCAGAGACCAAGCCTGATTGATGTTTTATGCATTCCCCCTCCCCACTTGCTATGTCTGACACTTGTTGATGCCCAGTGAATGAGGAAGGAAGGAAACATAAAATGGTAAAGAGCTTACATAAGTCTTGACAAAAATGTCCAGTTAGGTGCATTTGGGTAGAATCATACTACATGGGCTGCCATTCTGCTTTGGCATCCTCAGACAAGCACACTGTATATTCAAGGAAAAGGTCTTAATTTACTCTGATTCCTCAAGTTAATGTAAATTTAAAATCAAAACACTGTAGATGATCAATAATGTCCTTCAGGAAAAAGGGGTCAAATGACAGAAAAAAGAAAAAAGAGGTTGAGTGACTAGTAAAGCTTTCATTCTTTATTTCTGAGGAAGTCAAGTGCTCTGCTCTGACTACCACTGTTAACAAAAGACCTTAGAAGCATAGCTTATTTATTATATATTTTGTGATGTCGTTGCTGTTCTTGTTATACTCTTTCTTTTACAGACATAATTGTTAGAAGAAACTCTTTTAAAATATGATAATACTTGCTTTTCCTTGGTTTAAAAAAAAAAAAAAGGAAGAAGTCCCAGTGTAGGAAGTATTCTGCTCTAAAAGCCAGTTCTGAGAAGAAATGAAGTATAACATATTTGTGCTAACTGATGAAAAAATTAAGTGAGAGATAAAACTTTTGAAACAGCTGAAAGTAAACTGAATCTTTGAAGAAGAAGGCTAAATACTGTGATAATTCACTAGTGCCTTATTTTTTCAATTACAGTTTTTATTATAAGCATATAATGTGTCAGGCATTGAGCTAGGCACTCAAAAGATAGCAAGAATTAGACATGTGACATTCTGCCTTTGTGGAGCATTCTTTATAGAGGGAAAGACAGATTTAATTCTAACTGGACAACCACCAAGAAGAGAGACTCAATCAGGTTCTGGGAATTTCATTCAGCAGTTGCACCACGGGTGAAGTCCATAATATTTGAAAGGCAGTTTCTCAACGAGCAGAGTACCATATGTTTTCACTCATAAGAGGACCTTGAACAATTATTATAATACTATAAGAAAGGGATTGGCAGTAGTGGGAAACTGTCAGGGGAGGGGGATTGGCAGTTGAGGGAAACTGCTAGGGGAGGGAGGAGCATAGCTCATCAACAAAGGTACCTGCATAATCAACGTCTGTATACCTAACCCTGAATTGTACTCCCACATCTTTATAAATTTTTTTGAAAGGCAGTTTATTCTGTCACTTTGTTTAAAAAGGTTCTTTCTCTCTCTGTTTTTCCCTTTTCTGCACATAAATCTCACTTATCAGCTGACCACATTGGCTCTTATGGCATAAACGTCTACCAATCTTATGGTCCCTCTGGCCAGTATACCCATGAATTTGATGGCGATGAGGAGTTCTACGTGGACCTGGAAAAAAAGGAGACTGTCTGGCAGCTGCCTATGTTTAGCAAATTTGCAAGTTTTGACCCACAGGGTGCACTAAGGAATCTGGCTGTGGCAAAATCCGGTTTAGACATCCTAATTAGACGCTCCAATTCTACAGCTGCTATCAATGGTATGGGTCCACCATTCTGTTTCTCTTTACTGAATCTACCCCTTCTTCCTCAGGAAGCCCCAGATTTTCTCATGATAGTTGCTGAATCCTCGTTCTCTCTTCCATCCAAAAAAAATCACATATTTCTACATAGAACAAGGGTATTTCCATTAAAGCCTCCTAGAGGAGTCTCATCAACCTCCTACTTTATTAAGCATACCCACAGAGAGAAGGGCACAGGAATAAAGCAAAGGGAATGTATAGTGGCTCCCAAGAAGAAGGTTAAATGATACCTCTTTGACTATCAGGTGGGGAAATTCTGGTGGGAGGGCTCCTCCAGGTTATAACATAGGAACTCAGGGCAGAGATATTCGCAATTTACATCAGTGATATTTCCTCACCACAGAGGTTCCTGAAATGACTGTGTTTTCCAAGTCTCCTGTGATGCTGGGTCAGCCCAACACTCTAATTTGTCTTGTGGACAACATCTTTCCTCCTGTGATCAACATTACATGGTTGAGCAATGGGCACTCAGTTACAGAAGGTGTTTCGGAAACCAGCTTCCTCTCCAAGAGTGATCATTCTTTCGTCAAGATCAGTCACCTCATCTTTCTGCCTTCTGCTGATGAGACCTATGACTCCAAGGTGGAGCACTGGGGCCTGAATGAGCCACTTCTGAAACACTGGGGTAAATATAAGTTCTACCCTCTTTTGGTGCCTTCTTATCTGTCAAGTCCAGAGCATCCTGCCTTTTAGTTCCTATATCCCAAAACTTATTTTTCATACTTCATGGGTTTCTAATGATAGACTTCACTCTTCTCCCTAAGTCCAGTGTCCTGAGTCTTTGCAGAGTCAACCCTCCACCACTACTCTATCACACATACGTACATGCACATGAACATACTTTTTATTCTAACTTCAACATCTTTACTTTCATAGAGCCTGAAATTTCAGCCCCTATGTCAGAATTGACAGAGACTGTGGTCTGCGCCCTAGGGTTGTCTGTTGGCCTAGTGGGCATTGTCATAGGCACTGTCTTCATCATCCAAGGCCTGCGTTCAGGTGGTGCCTCCAGACAGCAAGGGCCCTTGTGAGTCACATCTGGCAAGAGAAGGTAAGTGTTCAGATTTGTTGGAGCTGAAACCGCAGTAGAGAGGAGGAAGGAAATTTGGAGAGGATTGTGAACACAAATGTAGCTGAAAGTAGAATTGAAAACAGCATGATAGTGGTGCAGGAGCCCCCTAGGACCCATTGATCTCATGTCTGTCTATTGCAGGTGCCTTGCCATCTATGAGAACAGAAGAATGGACTTGACAGATGACCTAGCACTATTTTCTGACCCAACTTGTCATGTTTCTTTTTTCCTCCAAATGTTTCTCCTCTCACTTCTTCTCTGGGACTTAAGGTGCTGTATCCCCTCGGAGTTCACATACAGCTTTGAATTTTCCCCATGACCCCTTGATGTTTTTTTTTTTAATTTCTCAACTGTTACCTACTAAGGGATGCCTGGAGTAATCCACTCAGCTACCTAATTCCTTAGTGACCTTGACCTAAAATCCCCATGGAAGCAATAAATCCCCTTTTATGACATCTATGTCGAATTGTTGTCTGTTTTTCACCTCCGGGCTGATTAGAACCATGGCTAAGAATGGACGTTTCAGGCCCATTTTATCTCATTTCCCAGATCATGTTTCATGCCCAGTAACACAGGAACAACCAAGTACAGTATTGTCTGATAATATTTTGATATCTTAGCTGAAGTTAATATTTCTCTCCTCCTTTTGTTCCCACCCTTGGCCACTGCCATCCACCTTCCAATTTAGACACCAACGTAGGTAACAAATACCCTCTGTCTTTGGCTTAGATTGTTATAGTAGAAACACAAAAAATAAGTCTGTACTAATTTCAATATAGCTTTTAAAAGTATAAGAGAGAAATAAGGTAAAGGAACTTTGAATCTCAAGAGAAGCAAAAGTTAAAATTTTGGTACCAAAAGTCAAAATTTATTCACAACATTTTAAATCTATGAAGAATGGGTAATGACAATAGAAGCTTCCCTCTCCCCTCCTCACCTCAAGGAGGTAAAAATTATCTAATGTAGGAAAAGACATGGAAGCCAGTTATAAAATCAGTAGAATAAGACAATAATGTGGGTATCTGAAAAGGAACAAATACTTGTTCCTCACTTAGGGTTAGTGACAATAAGAAAAGTGATAGGGGTAAAAACCAGACATACTTAAGGGCCCTAGAATAGGGGTGTAGTCAGCCTCACCTCCCAAGTGAAGCCCTGTTAGATAAACACATAGATTTTCCTGTGCCACCAATTTTCTTGTGCCACTGTGGTATGTTGAAGATAGTATAGTGAATATGGTTGCAGGATGTTCCTAAAAAGATAAGCCTAAATCAGCTTCACTGAATCCCCTGTGTATCCCTGTATACCCTGGGAGCAGCAAAACACCCCAGTATTCCTAGCCCCCTGATTCTCACACCCTCTAAGGAAAGCATGAGCCTATGACAGAAAAATTCTTGGAGGAACAGTACAGTAGAGACAATGTAGCAGCAGATAAGAGTACTGTGTTCTCCATTGGAGTCACTGTCTCCTAGTAGAAATCCTTGCAGAGGAAACAGATCCACAGTGATTTCACAGCTCCAAACAGCTATACAATCTGTGAGGATATTTCTGTCTATGCTATCTGCATTAGTGAGCTTAAATGTAATTGGGGGAAAAAACAAAGTATTAACAAAATAATAGATACAGTATAGTTTGGTGCAAAAAAAAAGAAAAAGAAACCCTAAATCCAAATCCAGGACTCAGTATTTAGAAGCTACTATTTTAAACTTTATAACACTGGGTAAAGTGTCTAACATTCCTGAGCCTTATTTTTTTCATCCACATTGTGAGAATGATAATATTTCTCTATAGAGTTATTGGAAGAATTTGAATAATTCTTACTGTGTAGGCAGTGTTTGACACATGGTTTACAAATCATAAGAAAGGTGTCAGTTATATTTATAATGAATTTATTTTAAAAAGTGGAAAAATAACAAATGGCCACCCCAGAAAATTATAAATACTTATGGCCCAGTCACATGGGCACAAGATAGAAGTTGGAAATGCTGCACGCCTCTATATATATGCTAAATCACATTATCAGGTTACAAACTGTCTTAGAAATTATAACTAATCAAACAGCCACGGCTTTTGAGCTTGTTGCACAGCACCAGCCCAAATGTGTTCAGCTATTTATCAAAACCGCCTAGCTTTGGACTACCTGCTGGCGGAAGGAGGAGTAGTATGTGGTAAATTTAATAGCTCTGACTGTTGTTTGCAAATAGATAATAATAGTAAAGCAATAACTGATATAGCCACCAATGTTTAAAAAAAAAACATGCTCATGTCCCACTGCAAAAATGGCAAGGCATAAAAATCGGCAATTGGTTTAAAAACATGTTCTCAGGTCTGAGAATATTTAAGTATATTATTGAATCTATAGTCCTAATGGTGTGATCCTGCCTTATCCTCCCTTGGAAAACCCTCAATAATTATGAACACCATTTCTAAGTTTGTGGAAACAGTCGTTGAACAAAAACCCGAGGACCATATAATGTTAATGCACCAAATTAAGGATGATGATGCTTTAGATCCATAAAAGATAAAGCATCAAGGGGGGAATGTGGCAGGATGCGGCAAATGCTCAAATATATTTCTTGTATGATTGAGTAAATAAACACAGAAACACATGTGGCTGATTCAGGATCAGCAGTTGGCCTCACCTGGGCTGACTAAATGTCTCCCACTGGCCCAGCAGCAGAAAGGGGGTTGATAGCAGTTAGAGGTATTTCCTTTTGAAAGGCAAGTTGCAATTTTAAAGACCTGCCAGGGCTGGGCAGGTTTTGTTTAAGAAAGGCCAAATGGCCCAGAGACTGGCCATTTCATGGAAATGGAAAAGAGTCTTATGTAAAACCCCCCTTCTGAAGTTGACTGTTCACAAGCATGCAGTTCCTGGAAACCATTTGTTCTTTGAAAAATCTGATTTTGCTGAGTCCAACCTTGTAAGATTCCAAAGGAAATATGTAATCACTCAACACACCCCCCCTTCCTTACCTAAACAAGGGTATAAGACCCCACTTCTCCTGTTCTGGGGTGCTCGATTTGGACGCATTAAATGCTTGGGCTCGCTGGCATGGCCAGCGTAATAAAGCGCCACTTCCTATAATAAAAAAATAAAAAATAAATAAAAGAGTGGATCATATTATATGAGAAGTACTTTTGGTTTTTGCAGCTCTTTAATGATTTAAAATGTAGAGTTATTCATGAATTTTTTTCTTGTATGATAATGGAAGAGTTATTTTGTTTTGGGGTTTTGTTGTTGTTGTTGTTGTTGTTGTTTTTCTTTCTCCAGAATGAGAAGGACTGAGACTAGGTTAGACTGAAAGAATAGAGGGTATAGTGGTCAGTGATATATTATTGATGAAAGGGTTGCTAAGGGAACTCTTAAGACAAGAAGTTGTAATATTTGACTTTGGTTTTTGACTCCCTAATGAGGGATATATTTCCTCCTTATGGCCTACAACTTTATGCATGTTTATTTTGGGTAAAAGGTAGGGAAGATTCAAGACAAAAAAGATGTTTATAAGTTAAAAGTAAGAAAATAAAAATGCAGATTGGGAACTAGTAAGCACAGGGACTCTAAACCAATGGTGATCATGAAAATGTACATCACAGAGCACAGAGGATTCTTAAGGCAGTGAAACGACTCTGATACTACAACAGTGAATAAATGTCATTATGCAATTGCTCAAATTCACAGATTGTAAAAAGAGTAAGCCGTAATGTAAACTATAGACTTTGTATGATAATGATGTCTCAATGTAGATCCCACTCTGGTGGGGCTAATAGGAGAGGCTATGTACGTGTGGGGGCAAAGTATATATGAGAAATCTTTGTACCTTCCACTTAATTTTTCTGTTAATCTAAAATGGCTCAGAATAGTCTATTAAAAAAAGAAAAGGCCCACAATTATGATCCCAAATATGTAATATAAAAATTTATGTAAAATAAAAATTTAAGTATAAAAAAATGTTACCTGAAAATGCACAAATGTGCTAAGAACTTTTTAGCAATAGTATTTCAAATAAATTTTATATAAACTTAAGTGATTCATAAGGCAAGAATCCAGCACTTTGGAGATGTGTGTATTTGTGTATGTGTGTTTATATATAAGGATTATATTGAATGGCATTATGACCACAGTTACACAGAAATATACAAATGCTGCTATACTCTGACTCCTTCCCCATAAAGTACTGAGAAAAACAATTTAATGATAGTTGCACTTTATTAAAAGAAAGTATTCATAAAGTCTTTATATAATATTAAAATAGAAAAATTAAAATTAATTCTAAAAAAAGAGCAAACACTTCTTTTTATCAGCTAAAAGTTTTACATAAAAGCAGGATCACCACATGACATTACTCTTTAAACAGTTATAAATCAGTCTGTATGATTTTAAATTAATTGATTCTTTAAGAATTGCTTGAGTTATTTGAATTATTTTAGTTTATGTACCCAAAGTATGACTTCATTAACATTTAATGTCACACTATTTAAAATTTACAAAATTTAAAAATCACATGAAATATTTCAGGTTTGTACTTATGGCATAAAACTAGGGATTCGAAGAATTTAACATTTTATTACTAATAAAACACTTCACACATAGCTTGGGTACATAGTATGCAGTCAATATATTTTAACAGTTGGTGTTATTGTTATTTTCTGGAGCCTAGTCACAATCCCATGGTAAATGATACCATAGGGATACAACCAACAAAATCCAGACTATCTACTAGATAAACAACTCCATTTCTTCAGCAAATAATTTCAAGGAAAATCAGAGAAAAGAGAGACTATATATTTTTAAAAGACTGAAGACTAAATGTTGGGCTTTGTTTGGAATCAGATCCAAACAAAACAAACTGTTAAAAAAAAATTCTTACAGGGCAATCAGAGCAACTGACACTGACTGTATTAAGGAATACTTATCTAATTTTATATATGGTAATATCATTGCTGTTATGTTTCTAAACAGTCATTAGAGATTTTCATGACAAACTTTTTATGAATGAAATAGACTATCTGAGAGTATCTTCAAAATAATTGATAATTGTTAATACTGGACTCGTCTGTCTACTACTATGTGTAATACAAATTTTCTATTACAATTGGTGTTATTGTTATTTTCTGGAAAAATATAATACAGGAAAGTCCAAAAAACATAGACAAAGAAGCATTCTGTTTGAAGTTATGTTAGCTGTTTAGGTTTTTCTCATTTTTACCAACTTAGGAAACCCTAAGTATCCAAATCTTGCCCAAGACGGGAACCTCTCAGAAATGCAACTCTAAAGAATGAATATACAACAATAAAAAACAGTAAAGGAAATCAAAGTAATGCTTGCTTATTATAGGCTGGACCAAACCCCCAACTTTGTTTATATATTCACTAATGCATCAAAAATACAAATATGGTCATTGAGTATCGGTGTTGTAAAATGTACCATACCTTCTCATGAGTGTTATTAAAATAATGTGAA